GATTAATTAGAAATATATAATAATTTTTGGTGAATATTTTGAAGCAGGTAAGGAATAGTTCCAGAATTTTCAGGGGGGAGAGTCTTGCACTTGAAATTTATCGATAGAGTAATTAGATTAGTTTTAAAGTAATGACATAATTTAATAAGTTTTATATTAGATTAATTTTCTGAATAATTTCATATCTATTAACAGTAGTGGCTCTAATTATATAACTTATTTTAATTTCCATTATTAATAAAGTATATTTTAATTGTTCTGTTTATTACTTAATGTTTATTTAATTTATTTATTTAATTGCTACTTGAGGAAGGTTGTAATGTTGTGCATTGCATTACGTTGTCAAATTGATTAATATGATCCTGCTTCGAAGTGTCAATGTTTGATATTGTGTATGTATATTGCTAGAGAGTGCTTTTGCTTGTGTGGAATTGGGATGAAGTGGGTCAACATGTGGGTTTGTGAGCCGTTTACCTTATAAGAATGGATTCCCTGATTTTTATGATTCTGTTACTTAGATTCTATATTGTTTATACCGTTATTTTGTTATAATGGATCCTGAATCTGAGTTGAGCTTTGTACCGGGTAAAATGGGAGATCGGCGCCACCCATGTGCACCTCACCGTTACCAGAGTTAACATTGGAGTTAACGACAAGGATGGCTTTCTTGGGCTTGTTTGGGATCCTGATAATCTTAGGTTTGATTTGAAGCCCCGCAGGGTGGCCGCACGCTGTTGGTAAGCGCTTTTGATGATCTAGATTGGATCTGGAGACCACCGGGTTTGCCATCCTGTTGGTATGAAAAACAGAAAAGAGGAGGATAGAAAACAATGAGAGGGCTGGTAAGTGAGGATTAGAACCGGTGCGTCCAGATATGGGGGAATCGGACTACCCTGGTTGCCTAGCATAGATTTGTGAGAGAAGATGAGCCATTGTGGGAGGAAACGGCTCATGGTAATTTATTAGAATTGGGTTCGGTGAATCTACGCACGTAATATGCCCAATTTTCACACGTGAATTGTGATTTTTAATTGAAAGTGATATTGTTTATGTTGAGTGCTGGTTGAATAAGATTTGCATTTGTGTGACCGTGACTGTCGCGTGAAGCACATATAACTTAGTCGGCATGACTATATTTGTTGTGACTTTGTATGCGTGTGTTTGTGCAATGAATTATATAAGCTTTTCTTAGAAAAACTCACCATGTCCTTGTTTTGATTTTTCAGGCAGTTAAGTTTTCTTTAATTCGATTCGGCTAGTTTCTTCGCGGCGGGGCAAATAGAGAAATTGTTTTCCTAGTGTCCAATAAGTATTTTTACTATGTAAATTATGTGTATAAAAAGCCATGTATACAACGGTTAGTGGATTCCGCAGTTGTAGGATTTACAGGATTTTAGTCGTCGTATATTAGCTTAGACACAAATTCAATCCTGTAATAGCCCATCATTAAGGAAATGTGATTGTAAAATTTGGGCCCAGAAAACTGATGGAATGCTGTAAGGAGATTAAATATTGGGAGAAGGTTCCGAGAAAATAAATAAGAAGAATATTGAGGTTCATATTTTCATAATCATTATAGGTGCATTTGATATGTTGAAAATTTATAACCGAGATAATAGATGTCTTAAGTGTTTCAGGCTGACTACGGGCTGCGGGGGCCTTAAGCTTACCTTGGGCCCTAGTTGCCGGTCCGGCCCATGGAATTGGGGGTCGTGACCAATAGCTATGCTTATTTTCCTAATATAATTAGTAAGCATTGAAGATTTTTATTTATAAGAATATATATTTCTAATTTCGTTTTTATTCCAATAAGAATAAAAAAGATTCTAGTGTTTCAGGCTGACTACGGGCCTCGGGGGCCTTAAGCTTACCTGGGCCCTAGTGCCGGTCCGGCCCATGGAATTGGGTCGTGACAATAGCTATGCTTATTTTCCTAATAAATTAGTAGCATTGAATTTTTATTTATAGAAAATATATCTAATTTTTTTTATTCAATAAGATCAAACCCTTCTCTTAAATAGAAAAATTTGTTAAAAAATTTTTACAGTAGAGATAATTTGAATTAAAAACTTCTTACTCGCTATATTTTTATATAAAAAAAGGAAAAATATATCGAATTACATCTAATTAGTTTATTTAGATTTTAATGATTAAGTTAAACAATAAAATCATCTTAAAAAAATTAATTAATAAACTCTTGGTTATCACATTGGATTCATTTTGTAATGATTTTTTATTTTGATTTGGTCTGGTGAGACGGGTAAGGGGTTGTGATAGTGAAGGGTGTAGGCCCAACCAACCACCCATGGACCCACTAGCTTATGAAAAGTCATATATTTATTTTTTTATGCAAAATTTTAATTTCATAATGGTTGATAGTTTCATTGTCAAAGCACTATTTCGACGCGGGGACACGCAACAGACAGGGCCCAATAAAAAAAATAAAAAATAATAAAAAAAAAAGAAAGTTTCAATATTGTGAATCTTGACGCAAAGTCTCACAAGTTGTGAAAATACAGAGATGAAGGCATTTGTGTTGTATGAAATGCATCCAGCCACTGCTTTTGCTCCTTTACAGTAAATATTTTGATGCAGGGGTTCAGTGGTTATCAATTTTTAATTGAAAATTGAATTAAATCGATTTCTTTTAATCGAATTTGGATAAATAGTTTTAAAATTTTGTTTACTGATCAATTTGAATAAATAAAACTGTTTAATTTAATTTGATTATCATATATAACTAATCTTTTTTTTTTTTTTGAAAAAACTAACCAATTTTTTAAATTTAAAATAATTAATTTGATTTAAAATAATCGAATTCTAACTGAATTAATTCAGTTATTATATTATTCAGTTTCATATTTGATTATCGTAAAAATATATTCAGATAAACCGAAACATAAATAATTCGGTTTGATTAACCGAATGCTCACCTATAGTTTTATGTATACACTTCAATACTATTTTTTTCCATGAGGTAATAATGACGAGAAGGATACCTCAAACAATAATTATAATTTGGTATTTTTTTTATTTAGTAGTTATATTAATAATTAACTTACGATGTTTAATTCTATTACACTATTTTATTTTGGAAAGTATTATTTTTCTCGTTAAATGAGAAACTAAAAATACTTTTGAAATTTTTTCATAAAAAAAAAAAAATTTTGAACTGTAAGAAACTATCAAATAAGTAAACATTATAAGTAGTATGAGAAGAACTAAAATATTTTGTAGAATGCAAATCTGTTAACATAACATAAAATTTCTTATTTATTTATCCAAGATTAGAGTCCCATGATAAGTAAAGAAAATTATTTTCTTTTCAAAGACATTAATTCATTAAGTAAGGCCGAATCCAATCAGAATTGGGCCCGCCCAATTTGGCCCACAAAAAAATCTACGCATCAATCACATGAATATTTCCACAATGCCATTTAACTTGCTATCTTGGCCCAAAAACTAATTAGGAAATAAATCTTCAAAATAATAATAATAATAATAATAATAATAATAATTAGGGAATGCTAACTGCAGTCTCTGAACTTCTAATCTTGTATTACAACTTTTCAAAATTTTTTTTAACCTACTCTATCTTTCCATGTTTTAAAAAAAATTTTAACTAGAAGACACTTGTTATATAACTTGTGAATATATATATAATTATGTAATATTTTTAATTTAATATCTATCAATGAGTTAATAAATTGTGTTCATAAGTTAAAAAAAATTAAATTATATCAATAAATAACCAAAAAAAATTAAGCTTATAATAATAATAGGTCAAATAAAAAGATTAGAAATCTAATAGTCAAATAAATTAAAAAAATAAAAGAAAATAATTAAATCATAACGAATATTAATATGACATAACTATTTGAGTATTTTTCAAAAAAAGTGTTGATATAGCTAATAGCATCTCCAATGCAAACGTGAATTGCTCTTATTTAATTGCCACATTAGAAAAATAAAAGACTTTTTAAAAATAATCTTCAATAGTAATGTCTATTTAGGATGTCAAACTGATGTGTAAAACAAACCAAATAGACATTGTCTACTACACTTTCTATTTCTAGACGGTTTCTTAGACAATATCAATATTTATTAGTCTTTAGTGATTGGCTGCATATTAAAATATAGGACCAGAAAAGAGAGAACAAAGATAATGGAAGAAGATTCAAAACTAATACATTAGAGTGAATTTTTTAAAATTCATTGTCTATAAATAAACATTTAACTACATTATCATTCACACCTCACCTCCTATTTCACACGACACATCAGTCACCATCTACATTAGCACTGATATTCAAGTTGCATACATCTTAGCATGCCACATCATTTCTACTTAAGTCTAGCAAATGCTCCCCCCCCCAAAAAAAAAAAAAAAAAAAAATAAGAGCAAAAAGAGAGAAAAAAGATAATTGGAAGGGAAGAATTCAAACCTTAGATACTAATATTAATTATATTACTGAGTGAGATTTTTTTAATTCATTCGCTCTATAGGATTATACAGACAATATTTATCATACATTTTTTTAATCAATTTTCATTTAACCTTCAATACAACCTCTCTCTATTATCAAGGCACGATCACATCAGTTCGACATCTACTATTTAGCAACTGATTTATAATGTTGCATACTATAACTTAGAACAATGCACAAAAATTTGGTCTATTCTAGCTTATAGTCTAGCTTAAATTCGGCGCCCAAATTAAAAACCAATAAAAAAAAAAACTCTTAATGGCAATATCCCCCCCCAAAAAAAAAAAAAAAAAAAAAACTCTTAATGCAATATTTATTAAAAAAATATAAAACAATTGTTTTGTTATATATAGCAATAATATTTGTGGCCATTCGATCTCTTAGTTAAAAAAAAGGAATAAAAACACAAATCAGATCAGAAAACGCCACGTGTTATGAATTGCAGGGTGTACGTTAACATGCGGTATTCGATAATTTTTATTTTAAAATGTTCTGAACTCATCCTTTAAGATGGAAAATGGAACTCCACCTTGAGACAGATTAATAATATTATTATATTGATCCTTTCTAACCTTCGGTTTCTCTCTCTTCACTCTTCACTCCACTTGTTTCTCGTCTTCTGTCGTAGCTATCGCAGACTCCAGAAGAGTCTCTTCAAAAGGGTACGTTCAGAAATGATTGTTTTTCAATTTTGCTTGCTGATGTTTTTCATTTTGAGATTTCCCTTCAGTTTTCCAGGAAAGTGACAGAAAATATGGTGGATTTTTGTCATTGATTCTTTGGATGATTCGTCTGTTTACATTGCAAACGTAGGAATGGGTTAGTTTATTTTATTTTTGATAAGTTGAAATGGGCATGTTAGGTTTTAACTTATATGCGTCCTTGTCTTCTTTGAGGGTTTACATGCGAGCTTCTTATTTAATTATTGATAGATTGTTTTGGGCGGTAGGAGATGGTAATGGGTTAATTTCTTCAATTTAGGAAAGTTGGAATCTATTTTTCCTTGTTGAGAATAATTCATTACGGAGTAGGATATCACTGCATAGTTGATGATTTGTTATTAATGAAGAATTGTATATTTAGAATTCTTGAAATTGCACAATAAGAAAATATAAGTTTAATATTTTGCAATCAAGTTGTTTTGGTGAATGGAGAGTAGCCAATGTGGTAAGAATTGGTTGAGAATGATGCTTCAGCATTTTCAACTTTATATCTACCATCTCACTTGAGAAGGGGCTTGAACTTATACATGTATATATGCTGCATTCCTTTCTCGTTTGAACTCAGAACTCACCTGGATTAGGATATGATGTTCTTGTTGTTTCCATCAATGGGTCTTTTTGAGACGGTTTATATTAATGGACGAGGTTGTTCTGATGAGTAATTTATGAATAAGATTCTGAACTAGATATCTAAGGCACCGTTTGGAAAAATCATGTACAAGAATTCAATTCAATTCTATTGGAAGAAATAAACTGAATCCAAATTATTTTATTTTCTTCATTATCTTTATTTATTTAAATAGAACCAATGATAATATATTTTGAAGTGACATGATTTATATTATTTCAAAGTCATTCCTTTTCTGTAAATTCTCTTATTTCCAAACATGAGATTTGACAAAATAAAATCCTTTTGAATTGAGTTCTTGTAAAATTGGCTTTCCAGAAAAGGGGTAAGAGTCAGAAGGATTTTATTGTGCCAAATATTATAGCTTTGTTGTGTGAGGCACTTCCAATGATCTTCACATATAAATGGTGAGGAGTACGTTTTAGAGGTTGTAACGTGTATTAGATCCGAATTTTTTATTCCTATTTAATAATAAGTTGCGCTGGCAACTTGGCAGTGGTTTGGTTGTCATTTGACAATTGTGTTTGTGCTTAAAGAAGACTTGAAAACTTAAAATTTTCTTTAGCTTTTTCTGGTTCCAGCTCAATTCTGAGATTTGTGATTTTCATCTCTCATTACCTAAATCTCTTCCGGCACATTTGGGCCTCGTTCCTATCATATATATATTTGGTTGTGCTTGTATGTTAAGTTCAAATCATGCCTGCAGCATTCGTTGAAAATTGTTGTGGAAAATCCAAAGTTGAAGACGAGACTAATAGGGTCCCCCTTTTTGATGTTTAGGTTGTGTATTCCAAAATTGATATCCACTGATTAACCTGAATAATGTAATTTGTACAAAACTGATAGGCCATGGTGCATATCATGTGATAGGCAGAGAAACAATTGTAAGTCAGATCTTCTTGTCCATGATGATCACAATTAGCTCTTTTTTTTTTTTTTTTTTTTTTTTTTTTTTTTTGCTCTTTTTTTTTTTTTTTTTTTTTTTTTTTTTTTTTTAATTTTAAATCCAATTTTTTTTTTTTTTTTTTTTTTTTTTTTTTTTTTTAATTTTTTAAATCCAATTCTGATGATTATTGACAACAAAATCTGACTTATAATTTAGTGGTGTATAAAAACCAGTGTCATCAATTCTAGTCCTCCTTTTTTTCACTTTATCATGCACAACATAATGGATCTCAGTGTTGGTGGTGTTTCCAAAATATAGACACTGTATTTTTCTAAATTTTATTTCCCTTCTCTTGCCTCGGCTCATAAGTGTGATATATTGGTGGTGAAGGGTGCTAAACAGAAAAGAGGTAGACCTAGGATCAGGTGGAGGGAAGTTGTCACAAAAGATTTACAGTCTCTTGACATTAATGTAGATTTAACTATGAGCAAAGCAGGATGGAGACAAAAGATTCATTTAGCCGAACCCAACTAGTTTGGGATTGAGGCTTAATATTTGTTGTTTTCTTCCCCTCCTTGGCCCATATGTTATTGTCCTTACCATTTATGCTAACCACCATATCTAGATGGCTGGCTGGGACATAATTATTTATTCACTGTGGACCTTAACTTACCAATATTTGATGCTATTATTTGAAAATATTTATTTAATTATCGCACCCCTTTTTCTTTTGACTGGCGCTAATTTCTTCTACTCTGTTTTTCTATTCTCTATCAGTATTCAGGTTTGAAGGCTAGTTGAATAAGTAGACATAAGAATGGGTACTGATTCTGATGCTGAAGTTAGTGTCTCCCTTGACGAAGCCAATCCGGCAGATCAAGAAACTGAGTCAAGTAAAATTGATTTACTTGTTGAAATGTCTTCTGATGCAGAAATAAATGGGGAGTTAGGAATTGCGGATGAGATTCTAACAAGAATGGAATTAGATTTGGCATGTGCTTCAGAGAAGCTGGTTAACCTAAGTCTACTCATGATGCATGTGGCAACCAGGGAAAGTGAGTTTGAAACAATTACCTCTCCAAAAGAAAATTTTGTGGGAGATTCAGTGGAAGCTCTGGAATTTGATCTCTTATCCTGGATTTTGGATTCTGAAGTAACAGAATTGGATAAGTTCATGACAGATACCCAGAAAAATATTGTTGATGCCCGTAAAATGATATCCTTATATCAACATTTGGAAGAAATTTTCATGGCAATGGAAGAAAAATTACTTGATTGTGAAAAATCGCTGAAGCAATTACAGGGTCAAGTCTCAGAAATCAGGATGCAATCTGCCAAGTTTCAAAGGACCTTGGCATGTCTGAAAAGAGAAGAAAATTGTAAGCTACATTGGTCATTATTAAAAATCTGTGTTTGTATATATCTACCTTTTAAGTATCAATTTAGTTGTCTGTTACTCGAGAAACCCATTAAAAAGGGCTTGTTTAAGATCATTATAGTTGACAGTTTACTTAAATGATTGTGAAATTTAGAAGTTCCTTTCCTTGCTTAAAATTAAAAGGAAGTTCAGAAAATTCATTCTCTCCTTCTATGCATAAATTTTGATATCATGCAGTTGTGGGAGGTGATGTGGACTTTCACATTTTCGTATTCTAAAGCTTAACTCTCTTGTTTCTGAAGTATTAATTGACAAGCAAAGAAGATTTTAGTTGAATGATTGTTTTGCACTTTTGACTCGGTAGAAGGATATGTTAGAAAAATCCATTTTTTTGTTTGTTCACATTCTAATGCATGCATGTTGATAGGGAATGGTGATGAGGGGCCAAATTTCTCAGAAGAAAACCAATTTTTGGACATGAATGCAAAGATCAAGATGCAAACTGCTGAACAACAAAGACATATTTTGAGGATGCTAGAGAAATCTTTGGCAAGAGAGATGGATCTTGAAAAGAAGCTAACTGATTCAAGACAAATAGAGGCAGAGATGAAACGTAGGCTACTTTCTACAGAACAAGAAGTACTCTTCATGGAAGAAGATGCAATAGATGTTTATGAAAGATTGTTCACAGCAGAAAATGCTGCAGAAATTCTGATGGGAATTTCACAAGAATTACTGAGTCGAGTAAAGATACTTCAGTTCAATTTGAGTGGTTCAGTTCAACGAGAAGCTGCACTCAGATCAAGCCTTGAGAAATCCATGGAACAGTTGGAAGCCAAAGAAAATGCTTTGCAAAAGTTCAATAGCAGCAGTTCAAAACTAAAGCTTCTTGCAAAGACTGACAATTTAAACACAAGCTTGACAGAAGCTGAAGACAATTTAATTCTTGCAAATTCTGAGGTTTTCACTCTAAGAGAAAAGGTGAATTCACTTGAGAAGCAGCTGGAAGAATCTGAGTTTCATCTGTCTAATGCAAAGGTCAATGAGGGAAATCAGGAACAGCATAATGCTTTACGTTCTGAGGTCACGAGCATGGAAAATATAATTGAGGATTTGAAAGAACAACTAACTAAAGTGGAAAGTAGGGCAGCAAGTGCAGAAGTCAAATGTAAGTTGTTGGCGGAGACTAATATGGATCTTAATGAAGAGGTATCCCATCTTAAAGGTACCTCTGAAAAGGTGGATTCATTAGAGAAGCAGTTGAGGGAATCTGATATCAGACTCCAGCATGCATTGGCATCTGCTGATGCCAGTCAGGAGAAGCAAACTATGCTGTATGCTTCAATTAGAGATATGGAAAACTTAATTGAGGATCTAAAGTTGAAAGTTCAGAAAGCAGAAAGTCGAGCAGACAGTGCAGAGGATAAATGCATTGTGTTATCTGAATCTAATGCAGAACTCAATGACGAACTGAGCTTTTTGAGGGGGAGGCTTGAATGCTTGGAGGCATCTTTGAATCAAGCTGAGGAAACAAAAATGGCTACTGCAAAGGATATTGGATTTCGGACTAAAGTAATAACAGATTTGATGTTGCAATTGGCTATTGAAAGAGAGCGTCTTCATAAGCAGGTATCACCTGAATTTACTACCAGAGGTGTCTTTTTCGATGTGTATATATATATATATATATATATAAAGAGGTGTCTTTTTCGGATGTTATATATATATATATATTATATATATATATATCTTCCCTAAATGTATATATATATATATATATATATATATATATATCTTCCTAAAGCATTATCTTAAAATTGAATCACATAATCTTTTGAAAGAACATAGATAATCATAATTACAGGCTGGTGTTTAGTACATTAAACTTTATGTTGTGTGCAAATGCACATTAATATGTGTGGGTTGAAACATTATTAGAACATTAGTAGAAATAAATGAAGGTAATTACTGTCCAGGATTCACAAACAGAAATATCCAAATGACGATCAAAACTTAATTGAAGCACTTCTCTCTCTCTCTCTCTCTTGTGCTCTCTCTAAATGATAACGTGAATGCTTATAAGTTTTGAATAGACAGAAACTTGGAGATAGGAGGTAATACAAAATAGCAAAGATATTTATTTCTTTTTCATGTAATGATTCAATCTTTGTCACTATTGTTCATAAATATCCAAATAACCATCTTCTTTTGGCTAAGCAGAGCTGTGGTGTCTACCTGAGAATTGTTTTTGGTATCCTTGTTATAGGGCCTTTTGATGAATCTCAACACACACTCTAAATACATGCACATGTTTGCAGTTGCATTATATGACTATTTCTGCATAGACTTTCTGATGCTTTGTTGATATTTACAGCTGACATCATTATCGCTTGAGAATAGACATTTGGCGATGAAATTACAGCAAGCAAGAAAGGATCCCTTTACAGGTACTGACCATTATAGTGGATGGGATGGCAAAAAGCATCTGTTTCCTGAGCATGAAATAACCCAAATCTCAGCATCTGGTTCCAAGGTAAGTGTTAGCTGTTACATTCTGAATAAATTTGTTTGAACATCTGCTGATGGGAGAGGGTTCTTAAATGCAAACTAGGCAGGTTTTTCCTATTGGGGAATGGGAATGATCCATGATATACCAAGTACAAAATCACTTATTTTTCAAACCAAGTTGTTTTTCCAAGGAAAGAAAATAATGCAGAAACCATCAGTTCTCTAGCTTAGATGGGCAAGGAAGTCCAAATCACTTTCCTCTTTAGGGCTACAATGCATTTTCTTTTCTTATTTCTTCTTGTAAAATCTTTTGCTTGGAAGTTGGAACTTGTTATGGTTACAGTACAGAAGCATCATTAACATTTTCCCCATTTGTCTAATTTTTTTCTTTTCCTGCTTATCAGTTGGACAAGTCCCAGAAAAATGCATCTGTTGGTGAGACAAAAGTGACAGCGGTGCCGGCAGGTTCAGTATCGGAACCTGAAAGTGTAAGGAGAATAGATGCAGGAATGCTCAACTTTAAGCATGTTATCATGGCAGTTCTTATTTTAATGATTGCAGCAGCTGTCTACTTATTTCACCAATAGAGCCGAGGCCTATGATAGTATTAGTAGAGATCCTAACACAATTTTTGGATAGTTTTTGTATGTTATGAATTAGAAATGCTAAAAATGCAACATAGTACAGGAGGCAGTAATACCATTTTCAGACAAATCAAAGTGATCTTGACTGAGTTTGGGCTTGTAGTCTTTGTTTTCTTTTTTTTTTTTTTTCTTTTTTTAAATGTCATCTGGATATCCATCGGTTTGAAAAAGTACGCAAAGGATTGGTTCATAGGATTAGAAAGAAAGAAAGATTAAAAAAAGGTTTCCAGGGGAAAATTTTCTTTTTGAAGAGAAAAGAATTTCCTCTAACGACAAGGAAAAGTTTCCACTCAGAAATAAATGTTTACATCATATGAATTTAAGGAGCCAAGCATGATTTTTCTTTTCAACTTTCTGTCTAAGTTTAATTATAAATTCGAATTTTAAGCTATACAATAAAATGGGAAAAATAAAAAAATGACTTGTCCTTGATTTTAATATCCAATAAAAATAAGAAAGAAAAAGTTAAGCAGCACGTCGTCGTTAGTGACTTACCGTCAGAGAAAAACAACAGAAACGACGCCGCTTCTCCTGGTGTAAAGGGTATGGGGAAGAGAAAATGAAAACATTAGGATGGTGGTCAATGCTGGTGGGTTCGCTTCGATTAGCCTGTGTTTGGTTTGGTTTATTCGACATATGGGCTCTTAGGCGCGCCGTCTTATCCAAAACCACAACTAAGCTGCTGCTTCTTCTTCTGCCGGCAGCACATATTCCTCCGCCTCCTCACCAGGGGAGAAATCAGCATCAGGCAAGTATCCATCCCGCTTCATCTCATTAATTAGGACATCAAGTATTTCGTACAACTCTTCACACCTGGGATGAGCCTCGTCTCCAACAAGAAACGCGTGCAGTTCATCTTTTAGCTCAATCCAACTGCAACCTGGTTCCTTCTTTACCTTACTATACCTCATTATTTTTCTCATCTCCGAAACCTTACCCCACATTCCAGCATCAGCATATATGTTCGATATAAGAATGTACGCAGAAGAGTCTTGTGGGTCCAATTGCAAAATAGAATTTGCCGCCTTTTCTGCAATCTCAACATTTCCATGAATCTTGCAAATACTGAGCAGAGTTCTCCACACAACAGCATCAGCTTCAAAAGGCATTTCTTGAATAAGCTTCAAGGCCTCGGCTACACGGCCTGATCTACCTATTATATCAACCATGCATGAATAATGCTCTAATTGAGGATCTAAACCATAATGACTTAGCATAGCATCAAAGTAATGCAACCCTTTATCAACAAGCCCCATGTGCGCACAAGCTCTGAGGACAGAAATAAAAGTCGCATGATTTGGTTTCACATTTTCAAGTTGCATGTTCTCAAAAGTTTTAAGGACCTCATCTGCAAGACCATGCTGAGCATAGCCACAAATCATGGCATTCCATGTTACGAAATCTCTATTACGTGCTTTCTCAAACACTAGTCTTGAATCTTGCATGCTTCCGCACTTGGAGTACATATCAACGAGAGTGCTGGATATATACACATCTGCATGTAGTCTAAGCTTGATGATTTGAGCATGTATTTGCTTTCCAAGTCCAATTGTAGCTAAATTGGCACAAGTATCAAGAATTGTTGCGTATGTGAAGTTATCTGGCTTCATACCCATTTCCAACATTTTAGAGAAAAAACTGTGAGCATCCTCACTTTGTTTTAGCAGAGAGAATCCTGAAATAATTGCATTCCATGAAACCATTGTCTGTTGTTCGGTTCTCTTATGGATTTTCTGTGCCTCTTCCATCATTCCACACTTGCAGTACATATCAACAAGAGCACCTCCTACAAAGGAGTTGAAACCCATTCCAGATTTTATAATTCTGTTATGGATCTCCATGCCAGTACTCAAAGTTTGCTGACTGGCACAAACCTTTAAGATGCTGCCATAAGTGAACTCATCAGGCTCCAGTCCAAAGTGCAGCATTGATGCAAAAAATGAAAATGTTTCCTCTTCCTTTCCATTCTGTTCATAAGCAGCAATAATTGCATTCCAAGACACAGCATCTCTTATTTCCATCTCATCAAACACTCCAACAGCTCCACCCAAATCTCCACATTTGCCATACATGTCTAGAATAGCATTTGCCACACAAATGTTTGACCTCAAATTAGCCTTAACTGCTAATGAATGTAGTTGAGGCCCTTCCAAACCACCTTTAATAGTTGCACATGCACTAAATGCGCCAGACAGACTAATTTCATCAAATCCAAGGCCAGATTTTAGCAAAAGCCTAAATAATTCCAAAGCTTCAAACCCTTGGCCATTTCGTGCATACCCAACCATAATGGCATTATAGCATTGTAAACTATGTTTTGGCAACCAGTTAAATAGCTTTTGAGCATCTGCCATGCTACCACATTTTGCATACATATCCAAAGTGGCCGTCCCTACAATGATGTCGGCTCTAAAATTACTACCCTTAACAGCATGGCCATGCAACTGAGAGCCCAATTCCAATGCAGAAATCCCTGCACATGACCTGAACACACTAGCATAGGTGGATTGACTGACCCCAACTCCAGCCTTTTGCATCTTTATGAAAAACTGTAAACCCTCAACATACTGACTATTCTGAACACAGCCAGCAATCATGGCACTCCAAGAAACTGAATTCTTCTCGGGAATTTCACTAAAAACTTGAAGTGAATCATCTAATCTCTTACACTTGGCATACATATCCAACAAAGAACTACCTGTAACCACGTCATTATCAAATCCCATACGGAGAATAAGGCCATGAACCTGAATCCCCACAAGAATCTCTTCCAAAACAGCGCACACTTTCAAAATAACAGCAAAAGTAGTTAGGTCAAAACCCACACCCGATCTGCCCATGTCCAAGAAAAAGTCAATCGACTTTAGATACTCACTATTCTGTAGATACCCAGAAATCATCGAGTTCCATGATACGACATCTCTATTGGGCATGTTCTCAAAAAATTGTTTCGCAATACCCATTTCCCCACAACCAACATAGCCAAATATCATTGTGTTATAAGAAATTACATCCCTTTCAGTCATTTTGCCAAACACTTGGTATGCGTACTTCAAATGGGAACATTTTACATACATCTGGATCAAACAATTCGAAACAAAGATAGTAGGTACAAACCCAGATATTATCATGCGAGCATGGGCTTGTTTGCCTGGATTTAGAGAGTTGAGAATGGAGCATTCCTGGTAAATATGGGAAAAAGTTTTTATCTTTGGTTGGTTTGGTGTACGTTGCGTAGAGACTGTAGAGAAAGTAAAGATCTGTTGAGCTTTTTTGTATAGAATTCCTGAGGAATGAGGAAATATTCTTGTGAATAAGCAAAAAGAAGATGTGCGATATGCCATCAACCATGGCAGTCATGCTTCGGGGAGTTCTTAAACTGTTTTAGGAGTTCAGTTTTTCTCACAGAACGTTTTGTTTCGGTCCCTCCCATTATTATTATCATCATCATTTCGAAAATAGGGTGATATTTGATAAAAAAAAAAAAAAACTATTTTCTTTTCAATTAACTAGTAAGATTCAAATAATAAATAAAATTGTCATTTAATTTCTATAGTTTGGTAAAATTTATAAGTTAGAATACCTTTTTTAAAAGTTAATTAAATAGTCCCATTATTATTTTTATTGATGTTGAACTAAATTTTGTTAAAATTTTATTGATTATTTGATTAATCAATTGAAAAAAGAAAAAAAATGTTTTTATTTAGATTTTTCTTTTAAAAGGGAAAAAAAATCCAATTCTGCTATCAAATATTAATAATAATTATTTAATGTATATATATATATATATATATACTAATCTTGATGTTGAACCTAAATTATATTTCGTGTAATTTAATAAAGAATCGGCCTCTCTTTGGTATGAAGTCCTATTGAAATGTAGCTCTCATAAATCTACATGTGATAAATTAAGCAAACAAAGATGGAGATAGTCAGTGAATTCATTATGGATGATGTTGCTATTGCTCAAAAGCACCAGTGGAGTGCAAACAGTCCAATAAAAAAATATCCACAGATTCATGAATGCGCTATATCTGAAAGGTATCTAATAATTAATTATTTAACTGAAATAACTAAACAGCGCCAAGGAATTAGAACAAGTCAATATATATTATATATTGCATTGTAATAATAACTGAATGCTATCCAGTATATTTATTCCTATACTAATAAAAATGTGGAGGTGTCTTACTTGGAGTTCTGCGATGAGATCACTTCGGATCGATGATGTGAGTGTTAAAGCTAGAAAAGTGCCTTCTCACATTGTTTGAACACCAAAGGTGCACTTTCACACAAAATGTATATACGACAGAAGCAAGTGGTAATTCATTTACTCGTTGAGGTCAATGTGTGTAACAAGAGTTGGTTGTTAAGTTTGTTGGCACACACGAAAAAAAACATAGGAAAAAGAAGAAAGACACAGTTAAAAAATTATGAAGTCCAAAGCCAATAAAGAGACTAGTACTCCAAAAAGAGTAATGTATGCTAACTAATCTACTACAGAGGTAAATACGTCTAATGATCCAGAAACAATACAGAGTAATTAATTGATGGATAAGAGTAATTTAAGCATCTGGGAAAGGAAAAAGAATAAGAACTCAAAAGAGAAGTCAACATACAACAAAATTTTGATATATATCACCGGATCGAAGACAGAATGGGTAAGATGCGAGCGGGATGGTCAGACTGATGCATGGGCAAGCAGTAGATGAGCAGATGCGAGGCAGGGCAGTGGCTGAGCATACAGGATAGGTGGAGTCGAGAGACAGCGTGGAAACCATCTGGTGGTCGTGTCAAAGGCAAGAAATCGAACGAAAAAACCTACTGTCAGTCCCGGCCTGGATCGTAAACCAACAGGGCTAAGCCTTGAGAAACCGGACAACCAAAAGGCGTTAGAAGCGCACCATTGAAAAAGCCACGCCATACGTGGCCACGTCACTCCAAAGTGCCAACCCCATCCAAGATACGACAAAACACGCTGCCAAACTCAGCTCCTTCTTTACCGTGCAGGAGGGTCCATTAATGAGAAAGGGGCTCGGATAAAGCCTGCCCAAGCACTCTCCATATTCCAGAATCGAGAGCATAATAAAAGTCGCAAACAATGGTGGCCCTGGTATCAGAATCAAGAACCAACTATGGAATGCACAGGTGAAGAAGTAAAAATTTAAAAACCCTTCAAGAATATAATATCCCTGAAAAGAAAAGAGTTAATACCAAACTTGAAGAGACTTCTTGATGTCAATCGGAAATCATACCTTTCGATTACGGACATAATTACACAACATATTCCATGCATCTTCTTCCTTCTCCCTCCATATATTGCGTTATACTTAATATAGACAAAAATGATATAAACGATGGCTCACGTCTGAGTTTACATAAGCGAGAATCTGCAACCCCACGCATAGTTATAGGAGAATGAAAATTACATAAGAAATATACTATAAACTTCAAGACTCTACATATCCTGCATATACTAAGCCCTTTAGACATAAAAGATAAAAGGGAAAAAACTTCCAATGTGGAGTATTATAAACCATCGATATAATCGTTAAGACGACAGCTAATAGTGAAAATAAGTGAACTCGAGCTATCCATGGTAGCCATGAATAAATGAGTGTTGATGATGGATGCAACCCAATATTCTGTTGAGTAAACCTTCTGATGCAAGTAAGGCAAAACCTCCAGTTGATGAGTTATTCCCTTTTAATTTTTTACATTTGATTTCAGTACAGACATCGTTAAACTTATATATGTAAAAGATATATATCACATTTATGTGAGGTCCTAGGTAACGACGTTAAAGTTTTATATTCCAGATATATCTTGCATGCTTTAGAAATATGAATGTTAGTCCACTTTGCTAGAGAATTATTCCATAAAGTAAGCCTGTTATGAACATTACCATTCATAAAATTAAATTGAGATAACTTCTAGAAATACACACTATTTTCCGTTAATTAAATTTAAGCAATGATTAGATAAAATGTATTTATGTATGCATAAGAAGATAAAATTAAGATTATACACATACTGTGATGAAATACGAATATTATTTACCACAGTAAATATAGAATAAAATGGGAGATCATAAAATTTATTAACGTCTCTGAGACCGTACCACTAAAGCCCCGTATCTGATATTTAACTGTAAGAAGAAGGAAGATCATATCGCCTAGTTAAAGTGAGTAGTGCAATAGGTCATAAGTGATTATCATAATACCCACATCCTACAGTCAGGATTAAACTGGACGAAAAATATACAACATAGCAAATGCGCTACATGTGCTAAAAAAATGTTGGAAGGTACAATATAAGCTATAAAATAATATAGATCAACAACTGTAAAATTCTTGCATGTATTTCTGCACTGAAATAAACAATCACAAATACCGGCAAAACGACTCATTTCCTAGTGCAAACAGTTAGTCTCCAGAAATCAACACTCCGTAAGCGAGTACAGCCGATCTCCTAATTGAAATTGATATTTTTTCTAAATTAACTATTAAAATTTTCTGACTCTTTGTCCACATAAAGAACCAAACAGATCTAAAACTCGCTCTTGCTCCACACACAAAGATAACGATCAATATCAAAATATCAAAAAATGACACATTAATATCTAAAACCATTACTAAAAAAATACATAGCAAAAAACCGGTTTTAGAAAATATATGTCCTCACTCTACATTCAAAAATAACCTCTCTGCTTCGAGACTAGTCTGTCAACTATGCCATTACACAAATACTCGAAGAACATAACTGATCACCTTCCACGCTAAAAGAGTCAAGCTCTAAAAAGCCATCAAATAAGACCAATCGAGACGTTAAAACCGCTCCTGCACAGACTTATAGAATACAATTAGACTAAAATATAATCTTCTGGAAGTTACGATTAAAGTTATAATGTTATCAAAATGTTTCAATAGTCACACATCAGCACTCTGCTACACGTCTATATTCGGAACTCTATGTAGAGAGTTAAGCGGCAATATGCACATAGAGCCTCTGACGAATTTCCGGTGAAAATCTCTACTATGTCACATTTTCCTAGTGTTCAAGTGGAAGAGCATAAATTACTTAATTATATAAGAAAAATGTCTTTGAAGGTGTCGTGTTCTTACATATTAGTATTAACAATAATATCTTGCTATCTGATTGATCATCTAGCACACGAGGAATAAAATTAATGAAGTTAAACAGAAAGAATAATTGAAAACGTCTATTAAGCCTTATTTTAAATACATCAAGGTTTCAGCCGTATAATAAAATACTATGATGGCAGGTAGTGTCTGGAAAATTCACAGCGAGAATTATATAAAAAGACATAAACCTATGAAAAAGAAAGTATTGTCTCTAAACCTCCAAATGACATAGTATGATATCACATAAAAATAATATAATTGAAGATAAAACTATGCACACTATACTCTTATTACTCGATTAAATTTAATACAAAATTCTACTAAACAAAATTAATCAGCATTAAATTGAGACACACTACCCAATAAATAAACACGCGGAAAAATAATATATAATTCATCATAACATCCATACCCATAAGATAAAAATAATGGCAATACTCCACTATGACTCTCAGTAAAAGGAATAACAACAGCAATGAGGAAAAACCAATAAAAGAATCCCATGTAATCAACAATCATTGAAACCACCAACGTGACACATAAAAATACCTATATTGAACAAAATCAAATATTTTATTACAAATCGCATTATGGACCACATGCCAAAATTAATTTTATAGTGCATAAAACTACGAAGATCGTAGAATATTTCTAATCAATATTATATCTGTACATATATTGCCACTTAAAAATGACCCAAGATACCAAAAACTACGCAAGATAGAAACTGCTCGCTCAGTGGACCATCACTAAAAATATCATTAACTAATTACATAATTATTAATTTGTAATTAGAAAGGGAAATCGAAATAGTCAGCACAAAACAAATATCAAAGGACAAGTCATTATAATCCTCCAATATCAAGTACCCACCCATTTATACAATCAATACGGAAATAAATAACTCACAATCTTTTGGAATGTAAATTATACCATATCATGTTAGTAAATTTGATCTACTCTAAAACTGATAAGTGTATATACTATAATTCACCCTTCTTTCAAGCCTAGCCATCAACAAGATTGCATCTTTACATTAGAAACACACATATTAATATCTTCCAGTTCAGAAAATACTTACATTAGTCCAACGACTCAGTGTGAATAGAGTCAGCTTACCAGATGTGAATAAAATAAAAACAGTCCATGCAACATAATCAGAAAACTCCAACATAAATTCCTAGCACCATAGAAAAAATCCATGGTAAGCCACGTGCTTGAGATCCTTCCAACTAGCGCAAAGAAATCCAGCCAAAAAAACTTAGAGTACTGA